ACATAAAATAAAAAATTTATATCTTTATGTTTGAAGCCTGAAATGTGGCAAAAGGTTGAAAAGTTCAAGGGGGCCGAATACTTTCGCAAGGCACTGTATATTAAGAATGCATAATTTAGGGTTAGGAGGCAATTTCCTACCAATAATCTGTGAAACTATATGCACTACCTTCTTCCGAAAACCCTGAACTTTTGGACATTCCCACATGCAGTGAAATAAAGTGCTTATGTTATCTTTGCTTGTAATACAGAAGTCAGGAATATTAGGATTGAATTGACTAAGTTTATATGGTGTGATACTGTATAGTATTCCTATCCTTCCTATTTGATCATAATTTAAATCATGACCTCCCAGGACAGAAATCTTAATTACCAAAATGGGAATAAACAGACATATCTGTGAAGCCTCCCCTAGAAATGAAAGGGTCTCATGCCAAAAATTGTGGAATATCTTATAATAAAATTGAAAATTAAACCTATGTGATCTTTTGATGAGAAAATCATGTACATGACTGATAAATGTTATTCGGAGTGTTCTGTTAATTTTTCCTGCACTAATACACACAGCATCTCAACTGCATTAAATATGCTTTACAGTATGTATTTGATGTACTGTACATACTACATCAAGTACATATATACTGTACATAGGTTTTGTCCCTTGTCCATACCTGCAAGTTTCTTTACTGGAATCACTGATTTTATAAAATTGCTTACAGTACATTGATATTTAACTTTGACACCATGCTTATATATATTGTTTTGAGGTCTCTCTGTAATGACATCACCATTTCATGTGCCAGTGGTCCTCCACACTTGACAGCCATATAAATCTACGGCATACTTTTCATTACCTTAAACACCATATTTTTAATTGTTTCTCAAAGAAGCACCAAAGCATCTCCAAAATAATCAAAATACAATTTACAGCACTGAAACTATTTTTAAGTAAAGCTGACCATAAAGCTTCAAGGTATATAGCACAACTGATGAATTTCACTACTTTGTACCAGAAAAATCGAACACAGAATGCCTCATAAGACACAAGAAAACCTAAGCTTCACAGCAGTGTATTTCATAACTAAATACAACCTGACAATGCAATGCAATATTTTTTCATAAGAACTTTTATCTGTTGTAGCAGTTCTAAGAAACTCCCAAGTGCATTGATACTTTATCAAGTCCTTCCAAAGCAGTATATATGCATAATATATACCCATACCCATAATAACTTATTTAGCAATACTTAATGTAAATAAAATAATAATAATGGACTTTCTAGTCTTTTCATTAATTATTTCATTCTTTTCAGTCATTGCCTGGAATTGTTATCATTATCTTTAATTATCTTTAAAATGTTAAAACAAAAACATAAATATACATTATCTTTTTTTAAGGCATAGATAAGAATTCCATGGCCTGTCTTAATAGAATTTCTTGCAAAATGTTATTTGTTTAATGACTCTGAAAGTTGTTATCCACTGTAGTAGACAGTAGTAGAAATGTACATCCTATGTCTACTACAACTTATAAAATGTGTTTCTTTTTTTATTCTGTTTTTGTTCTGGATATTTCTTTCTATTGTGCATTTGAAGCCCATGTGGTTCCCTTGTATTTAAGACCCTAAACAGGGCTGTACTGTTTATACTTTTTAACATAATTAAGATGATTAAAAGGTGCATCCATTCCTTGAGGACATTGAACTTGGGTTCTATTTGGGGGCATGGTCTTAAAGTAGAGCCTTTGAAGCCAGTACGGTCAAAATTATGCATCTAAAAAACACTGGAAACAAATACTTTTTTTGGTTAGGCACTTAATTATACGTATGATATCTTGCAACAGTATTTACTTCCAATGTCCCAATTTGTTGAGTTAAAAAAGACAAATACATATTTTAACATTTTTAATCAAAACATGAGTGTACTAACTGCACACTTTTATAGGTAAAAGACATTAAATATTATCAAAAATGTGAAAAAAGACTTGTAAAACATGATTAATAATGAATTGTCAACATTTAAACTTCTTAATCTTTCTTCAGAAAAACAGACACTTGCCCTTTTTTGAAAATAGAATTGACATTTGCCTGAAAACTTCACTTGTAGTCCACACAGTCCCTAAATACTATTTCCACTGATGCAGGGCCACCCCGATGCAGGTTTGAGTAGGGGATCTGAGGGGTATTCCTGAAATCAACCTTGAATCTATATGACTACAAAGTAGTTCAAGTAGTAGCTGCGTCAGCATGCGTAGGCTGCAAAGGAACAAGTTACAGGCTTATTCCATGCTGAAAAGAGAAGAAAGGAAACACAATGTTTTGGCTGTGGAGACTTTTTCGAGTGGCTCCACAGCCGAAATGTTGTCTTTCCTTTCATCTCTTTTCAGCATGGAATAAACCTTTAACTTTTTCCTTTGCTGACTACAAAGTATAATCACTTTTTACTTTAGAATCCAATGACGAAATCTAAAAATAAAAGTTATCTTTTGATGATGACCTCATTTCCATGACTGATCAAAGGTATTCTCAGAGTTATATAGCTTATTCTGCGCTTACACACAGAGCATCTCCAGTGCATTTAAATGTGCTTTCTGTATTTGATGTACTTACGGAGACATGTGGGTAGTTTTGTCCATTGTCCTCGTTGGCAAGTTATATCACTAGAACCACTCATTTTATAAAATTGCTTACACTGATATTTAACTTTGTCACCATGCTTATAGACATTGTTTTGTGGCCTCTCTGAAATGGTATCACCATTTTCAAGTGCTGGTGGGTCTTCACAATTGTCATCTGGAAAATATGATTAAGGTTATTCATATTTTAAAAATCTTCAAATTAGTTAATTACCTTAGTGTCATGATCGCTACTCCTCCTCTTAAGGGCGCTCCAGGCCTTCCTCGTTCTTTCCCATTACCCACACCTGTTCCCTATTTCAGTTCCTCCTTAAAAGCCAGACACAGACGTCATTCGAAGCTCCTCATTGAATCCTGTTTCGTGAGAGCCCGGGTCCTGCTGCGTCTGGCTCCATCATGGTTTTTACCTTCTGTTCCTGTTCCCCCCTCGCTGGTCCCGACCCGGTTCATGGTTTTAATTCCCTCGGATGGATCTTCCGATGTTGGACTTACTCTTCTGTCTTGGATTACCTGTTTGGATTTCTTCATGGATTGTTCACTCCCCCTGGACACCTGCACCCCTTGGACATGCCCCTTGTCTCCATACCCTCTCCTGCATGACTTTTTCCCCAGTGTTTCCTCACAATTCTGGATTGTGTCGTCTGCATAGGGCCCTGAAAGAACTGTTCTTGACACTCAGCATACAATAAGTTTTAATGAAGTTAGTTTTTTCAGGGTATTAACTTATTTTACAATATTAGTTTACAAAAAGAATACTGCTTCAGTTATATGTGACTAGGAAGTATCTCTAAAAGTCTAGATAAAGTATGTAACACCTGGCAGTGTAAACCTTTCCAGTTTAAAGCAAAGGGGATGTTTGCAATCATAAAGCTTACTTTGGTTAACCTTAGTTAATTAAGTTTGTGGGTAAAAGATTTAGTATGAATCAGGAGTCCAAAAGGACGCCATATAAGATCAGATTGGGACAAAGAAAAAGGAAAGACCATAAGACAGAGAGGGAGACAGGAGGAGAGAGTGTGTCAGGTGAGAGAAGACCTGAGTGGAACCAGTAATAGTACTGGAGAAATACAGTATTTGAACCTTACTAAGAGAGCTTGCTATTCTGTAGCTTTTTGGGAACTTGGAGTTCCTGAGTGAAGAAAAATTCAGTTTAAAACAGCCTCTCCTGCTTAGTGTGTGCATTTTAGAACAGGGCAAAAGGCTCCCATTTATTTTGTGGCATCTGGGTTTGCAAAGAGATATTTAATTGTAGGTTGTATTCTATGTATATCTAGTTTAGTAGGTAGCTTATCTCTTATTCTGGCATTTGTAGTCATTAAGAGTTGAATACTTGGTAAGAGTCTGGGATTTTTCTAGTTGTCTAGTTTTCTAGTGTGTGTATGGTAACTGTTAATATTTGTTTAACCCAGTGTGTCTGAATTATTATTATTTTGACTAGAGAATTAAGAACTTACGTGTCTATAACTGTGCCAGCTGCTCAGGCATATTCATGGCAAAATCCTTAGAAGTTGGAAGTTATGATTATTTAACTTATTGACTAAGCAGCTCGGTGAATTCCTGTTATTCATCATTTTATAACTCTGATTTGTAACCACATTTTATATAAACAATAATAATTCACACTTCTAAAGCTCTAACACGTTCTTTTTTGTGAAATCTTCAGGAAAGAGTTGTCAGTTAAAGCCACAGCTAGATAAAATGCAATTACAAATGGCACTAATGTCACATACTGTATTCATGTAGTCTTAGGGTTCATAAGGCGCTGCCAATGTTTTACCCTGTATACTTATTAGCCATGGTAAGAACCAGGATTTCTACATAAGATAAAATGTGAAATTTGTGAGGAAAAATATGTTGAAATATATCAAGAACAATGAAAAAAATCATGCTTGTTATTAAAGTTTACAGAACTGTGTAATTGTAGGTTTGGGGAAAATGTTTCATTTAAGAAAAAACTATAATTAAATGAACACATACTTTCTATGCTCCAAAGTACTTTATTTATTATAACTCATCAATATGTGGTACATACAAACATACTGCCATGACCACCAGCCAGCAGAGATCAACGCGTACGCGAGCTAATCAGCACCAGCAGCGTTACTCTTAACAAGCGCCGCCACACGAGTTGCTCTGCCTAGCGTTTCTTGCCCTTTTGCCTTCGGACTTCGGACTTCGGATCTCGTCTCGCCCCGCCCCTTGGATCGTTTACTATCTGTGTCTATTTTGGATTTGACCCTGCCGCTCTCATTTCGACCACGATTCTGTCTCACATTTTGGATTGTTCGCCACCAGTGTCTTTACGGGATCTCGACCTACCTTACGCCTTCGGACTACGACTCAGCTCCTGGTTTTGCTCTGTTCACTTACTTACCTCCCATTGACTCCTGCATCTGCATCGGATCCTTTTCACCTCTTCAAAGCAGCGTTACACATACACCTTTGGCTAGACAAGGATCTTATACTGTATATTCAGTGTTCAATCCAAAAGGTATTAGAACATTGATGTTGATTTCAAACCTTGTCTTAAATCCTAAGCAATTCAAACAAGTATTAAATTGGAATTTTAAAATTAACATAATTTTAATATACTTCTGAATACATGCTGATTCATACTCAGGTTTAAATGCACAAGTGAAAATATATTATTATTACTAGTATTAGAAATTCAGTACCTACCATTTAAATGAACATCAGTGCTTCCTGTAAAATAGAAGAAACTGTTTACACATGCAGTGTTCCTTATAGAATATAAACAGAGAACTCCACAACGGTCTCCTCTCTTTAAGTTAACATACATGGTTGTCTGGCTTTTAATCATTGCCTTTTTCTGAAACTTTTTACACAATATTAAGAATTCACAACTTATTAAAATTTCCTGTGACTCTTTTAATGTCCTATTTGGTATACAATAAGGACAGAAAATATCTACATATCTAAAAAATCTATAGCATCAGTAGAATAAAATTGATATTTTTCCTTAACAACACAAAGTTTTACTTACAATCACAATTTGGAAAACACCCATTTATATACAGGGCATTTTAATGGAACAATCTATGTGAAATAGAATGCTCAAGGGTGCAGCAGCTACAGTATACCACACCCAGGATTTGTGCTTACTACATCCAGTTATAAGGTCAAAGTTCTAACCACTTCTCCATGCTCCACATTGCAACAATACAATTTAACAGAGATTATGTTGAAATGCTACAATCTCATAGTTACCCACTTGTGGAATACAGTTTTTGTTCTCTATAGAAAAATCATATGCTTTAAAAACAGTCTACAAAAGAGCATAAGACACCTTTTGGGGCTTCAAGAGATGAACTGTGTGGATGGATTGAAGGAAATTGTCAACTTAAATGATTTATAATTAAACACCTGACTGAAGTTTTGAGAATTGAAAAGGAAATAAGTAAGGTGAAAATGAATAATTATTTAGAGTTAATTGTGCATAAAATGAACAGTTAGGAACTTGTTCCAAGAAAAAATCACACCAGTATTTGACCAATTATGAGAAATATTGAAGGGCCAGAGACACTGTGATCTTTTATAGCTATGATTTTTTCTTCTATAATGGCTACTGGGCTTTACAGTAAGATAAAAAAAAAATATAAAGAGACAAGATAAGAGAATTATACAATTTAAAAACAAGGGTTTGCAATTAAATAAAACCCTCACTGAAGAAGAAGGTTTTGTGTCTGGACTTCAAAGGGCTTAGGGAGAACATGCTTGGGGATAGAATTCTAGAGTTTTACAGCATTGGAAGAGAAGGCCCTGTCATCCATATTTTGGTTGTACCCATGGTACACCAACCTAGATAAGCTAAGGGGACAAACAGAGGTTGCAAGGTTGGAGGTAGGAAGATATATCAGCTAGGTACAGAGGTGCCAAGCCATGTAATTTTCTACGTGAGCAAGAGGGTTTAAACTCAACACAGAACCTGATAGGAAGCCAGTGCATGAACTCTAGGACAGGAGTAATGTAAACACTTGCATGTGAACTGGTGAGTATTCTGGCTGCTTAATTCTGGACATAGTGTGGTTAGTGTGGATTTATACAGTAGTAGATACCCCAGTGAATAGGATGCTGCAAGTTGAAAGAGAAAATTGTGTTGTCCAGCGTTTCAGTCAGAGACAACATAGGATGTAGTCCGGTAATATTTCTGAGGTGGAAGACTGATGGAGTTACCCAATTTTGCATATGTACAGTAGGTCAAACATCAATCCTGGATCAAATATCACCCCTAAGTTCTTCAATTTAGATTGAAATATAAGTACAGTGCCATCCACAGATAGAGTTGTAGCATTGACTTTACAGAGGTGATGGGAGGTGCAAAGAGG